TTCTATATAGTTTTTACCTTTTTATACATTCTGTAGGGAAAAAAAAAAAATTTTTTTTTCAACCATTACAATTGTATTAGCGAAATAGAATGATTCGGGGGTTTTGATCTGTAACGTTGCAGTTGGTTGGTTAATTTTTATATCACTCGAGCGATGCGAGAGTGCCCTGTTCAATTTTGTCGTTAACGATGTTTATTTAAATGTACGAATTTATATACATATATATAAATCAATAGGTGGTATTTACGTGTATATAGCTATTGTTTGTCGGGCTTATTTTTTAAAATAATTTGAAAAATACAACGGTTCGATTTGTTAATTTTGAGAGCGAACATCGTCGCAAAGTTTGGATCAAGACCCTTGCTTGGTTATTTTTCAAAAAAATGATAATAAAAATTTAAAAAAAAAATCAGAATCTGTCGATCATCATCATCACGCTTCGACTACGCAAAGTGTGATATTTACTTGTATACTCTGCACCCCCGTTACCCCATCTGTACCCCTATTTCACCGTGTAATGAAATAACGTAAGCTGGTCAAAGTACGAAAATACTACGTAGTTTTTACAGACACACGCTTTTAAAACCTTAATTTACAAATACCAAATGATAGATGGAAAAACAACTGTTTTCGTACTTTTTGACTTTGCTCTGCGAGACATGACGTGAAATAGATGATCCGTTCACTAAGTAATGGGCAATGGATGCTGATGCGATGATTTTTTTCTACTTATGAAACTTTTTTTAAAAAATAAATAGTTATCTAGTTTGTATTTTATCATTTTTTAACGAGGAGATAATATAGTTACGTTTCGAAAGTATCAGGTCAATTTGTTGTAAAATTTAAAAACAATGGAAAACTAATCAAAAAAGTTGTTTTGAAATAAATTTAAGCTTTATCGTCCGAAATCGTAGCTAACTTACTCTTTTTAATTAAATTCAGTTAAACTGTTTTTTTTATTTTTTTCATCCTGACACACTTCTGCTACCGAAGCTTTGAGGCAACTTTGAAATTCCTAGGTTTGACAGCTAACGAGCATTTTTGTTTCAAACTGCAATTCTCTGTATTTATTTGATTTTTCGTGCGATGAACGTTTTATTAGTTTAATATTATGTTATAACAAAGCTGTTGTGATCTCTAGTTCAATGATGCATTTTGATGTATAAGTCGTCAATCGACCACTTCGTTAAGCAGAATAAAAATAAATTCACTTCGGCAATCGACAACGCAAAGTAACAAAAAGGCTGAACTCCTCACCCCTCATTTTTAAACCTAGGAATTCTCAAGCCTAAATCGAAATTTAAAAAAACCACTTTGTCCGCGAAGAAAATAATAATGCGCGTTACCATCATTGAACGGCGCCTGTGTATAATTGAAAAAAAAAAAAAAAAAAAATGCGTTCTCGAGCAAACAAGTAGTTTCGTATTCGTTCATACGAAGTATGTTTGAAGTACGATTTTTATAATAGGTATATTCTATATATACATAGTTGAAATGAATTTTTTCGTGCGCGTGAGCGAAAGTCGGTAGTAGTTGAAAACAAAAAAAAAAATAAATAAATAAATATAATAACAATGAATAAAGGGCAAAGACGAGAGTCGCACACAACGGTTTATAAAAAAATTATTATGCAGTTTAAATAATAAAAAATGAAATTATATTCGAAAGGAAGGGCGCGGTATCGAGAGGGTGAGAAAAAAATTGGGGCTCGGAAAAAAAAGAAAAAAAAAACAAAAACAAGAAACGAGCAGAGGCAAAAATAACAAAACTTTTTCAATTCAAAGTCGTTGGTATAAGGAAGAAGAAAAAAAATGAATCTTGTAACGAAGTAAATTTAAAAAAAAACCACACTACGTATGCACCCCCTTTCCCCTTTACATAAATACACATATTTACGTATACGTATAGGAATATAAGAATTTTAAAAGGCAAAGACAACAACAACAAAAATCGTGAATCGACATGTCATCCTACTCTTTGGACCCCCTTTCACTTCACCACACCTCGTCCTTCGAGAAAAAAAAAAAAAAAAACTTAATAAATAAATAAATAAAACAGTGGGGGAGGGAAAACGGGAACGCAGTATTGTTCTCAGAGTCGCCGAGGTGAGGGAGACCACGCGACTCGTCTCGATCCATATCTTTAATCAAGCAATTAAGAGAAACACAACGATGTATATTCACAAATGGATGAACGAAAGAATGAAGATGCGCGCAGGAAGGACATATAGCAGCGGCAGAAAGTTACCTCATTCACATACATGTATATTCGCGCATATAATAATAAATATATAATGTGTAACAATGTTATGTGAAAGACCGGGCACACTCACGCAGGCATATACGCATGTATAGATCATAAGAACATGAGAGAGCCGGGGCGAAAGGAACAGAGGCGCGCGAAGCTTTTCTCTTTCGGTTAACGTACGTGTTACATTACACATATATATATATATACTACATATATATATATATACTGCGTTTTCTTCAATGGAAGATTATAAAAATAAAAAAAATAAAACAACTTTTTCATCGATCGAGCGTGCAGATGTGTGAAAGAGAATATATTGATATAGATATATATATATATATAGAAAAATATATAGCTACGGTAATAGTTATATCATAATAATATAAATATACGCGACAACGTTACCAATAATTGCGACGCTGGTGAGTGTATGTACATGCTCGCGTGTGTGCGACAGATTGTAGATACGAAAATCTTCAATAATAATAACGCTATACATCATATGATGAATAAATAATCAAAGCGTAAACGCGTGAGAGTTTCAAGTGAATTTTTGTTTTATCGACGTGATAAGCGTGTGCTACATTATAAATATATACATAATCGGACGCAAAGTACACGTACAAATTTTCATCCCTGACCCCTGCTATCCCTTAACGTGATGCGAAAATAAAATGTGTACCATTTTATTGGAAAAAAGTATACATATACACACAACGGTTGATTTATATACACATTCATATACATATATATATATATATATATATATATATAT